ATTTTCTCCATTACTGTGTTACTCACTCAGTGAAGAGCCTTGTGCCTCCAAAGTACACAGACCTTCGGGGTGCCTATCAGGGTACTTTCCCTTACTAGCTGTTCAGCCTTGGGCAAATGATAACTTTTTTTAACCAGTGTTCTCAACTGCATGAGAGAATTAAAACTACCAGGTGCACACAGTGTCTTACACAGAAGGATCAGTCAGTAAATGATCACCATTACTATAATTTATTCTTTGGTCCTTATCTTCCATCCCCTAAGCCCAGCACCAGCTTCCAGTGCTTTCCTACCAAATTGGAAAGTCCACAATTCCAGCTCCTTCTGTTTTGGTGGGTGGAGGCTGCCTGATGCCTTTTCTGTCTGTAAATCCTCAACCCTGATCAGCCTGTTTTCTAGCCCCAAGAGCGTTCATTTTCCATATGCTCCCCAGCTGGCTACCAGCTCAGTCTCCTAAAGGTTAAACTTGTGTTCCAGGGCATTCTTTTCCAGCATTACCTTCCCTTAAAAAAATGCAAATACATCAGTGGTTAGGATATCAAAGCAGCTACACACACACACACACACACACACACACACACGTGCGCGCACAAACGCATGCATGCACACATGCCCACCCACCTCTCACTATGCATCTCCTTGTGAAAAACAATCTAACTCTTTAGGCTGTGTTTCACAATTTTCCAGTAAACTTTTATGCTTTCTTGCCACAGAGACTTCTAAATTGACAGGCAACGTCATTAACTGAACTCTGTAACAACTCCGCCAAACTCATCAGTGATAGATAGCCACCTTCTAGAAGAGGCTTCTGATATCTTTGCCTTCTACTTCCTTGCTTCTCTGCACCCCTGGCCCCTACCACATGCACATCTGTGCTTGTTTCATTGGCCTTCTGTATACTGTAACAAAATACAGGCCACGATTGAAGGAAACTAGTCCGCTGCCCTTCAGAGCGCTTCTGACCTGCCTGGTGGTTCAGCTCTCCCCAGCTGGACCAGCATCCATCTGGAACCAAAGAAAGACCCAGGGGTTCCGGTCAACACTGAGGTGCCTGCATTGCAGCTTGTTGTAAACATATGTGCCTTTTGGGACATCCACTCACCTGGTGTAACTTGAGAAGGCATGCATAAGGAGTCTGGGTCTCTTTAGATTAGGGGGTTAGGCTGAAGAAGGTTCCAGTCAAGAGAATCAGCCTGCAGTGGCTGTGGCTTGTCCTGGGTTCGTAGAACCCTGAGCACATTTGGGCCATAGTTGAGGACAGTGTTGGGGGGCAGAGGCAAGGGTGGGGTTAGAGTGGAAGGAGGGACTGCCGTAGGCTATTGGCTATTCTCCAGGCTTCAGAACACCTTCCCTGGGGTTGAGCTGACCTGGAGTTCTGGGAGGCAAAGCCAAGCCTAACCGAGGACCTGGCATTGGGTTTGAACACCCAGGGCCATCAAAGCTTGAAGTCTGGGGGATGCGTCTTCCTGGTGAAGCCAAACAAATCTCTAGGTAGGCATAAACTGACTACACAGATTTCATTTCTGAACACATGTTCAAAGGTGATAAAATAAATGCAGATGGTTCCTCCAAGCCTCAGAGGAGGGTTTTTACATTGACTAAATAAACTAAAAAGCACATATGAACACATATATGGGAAAGGGAACAACAAAGAAATCCTCAAAAATGCCAACCCTCACTGGATACAAGTGTGAAGGAGATGTGGCAAGAACAAGGCTGTCTCAAGAATTTGCAAGAAGGAACAAAATACACACTCATGAATATGGAAAAGCATGTAGATTGCTAGTAGTTCCACTAAGGAGGGTTAGGAATACCTTTCCTGGTGTGTAAACTGAAGATTCAAGGCCTGTCAAGAAGACTGGGCCAGGGGAACTGGGTAAATGTTACCCTGAAGCTTGTCTCCTGGGGTTGGTGATTAATATACTTTAATCAGGGCTAATTCTCCACTGTGAAATTTGGAAAGTCCTGTCAGAATTCCAGGATGAGGACTCCTTCAAATCCCCCAATAGCTAATCATCATCACTGTCATCATCAGTAACACTTGGAGGGACTTATAAGCCAAGAACTGGATGATTTGATTATACTGCAAAACAGTCTTATGAATTAGGTGCTATCCTCATTTTACAGACCAAGAAATAACGGCTCAGAGAGGTTAAGCAACGTGTTCAATTTCACACAGCCTGTAGATGGAGGCAGCCTGTAGACTTATGAGAGGGCAGAGTAAAGCCCCGACCAATGGCCAACAGAGCTTCTCACTGTCACCATCATTAAGAAAGTGAGGGCTGTCCAGTCTGGTCACTGCCCTCTGTGCGGGAGAATCTCATGATGCTGAAAGGCCCCATCAGGACAGGTGAGTTATCCATGGACACGCAGATGCTGGCAACAAAGCTCAGCTAAAGCCTGTTTTCTCCTATTTGGTGAAGTTCGTCACACTGCATCACATGCCTCCTTGTGTCATGAAGCTCCAATAGGAAAACAGGCAATAAGGGAGGATGAAGTCGAGTGTAGAGTTTTCCTGGAGCCAGATGCCAAGTCTCCTCTGTCGTAGAGATGAGTTTAACTTTGGAGCTATCTCAATGGCAAGTGTTGACGCTGTAGAGACAAGCCTCCCAGGAACCCTGAGGAAGGCTCCACCCTAGGCCCATAAGCCCAACATGTTGACTTTGGCAGCACTTGAAGGCCCTCGTATGCCAAAAAAGTTACTGAAATGGAACCAGGTAATGCTTCATTACTCTGCCACCCAGCATGAGGGAGGTAGAGCCATCCCAATGGCCCGAAGGCCAAAGTCCTTTCAGGAAAGTTTTCATCTCATCCTCAGGCTCACTTTCTCGCCAGAGCTGCCCTTAGCCCAGAAGCACGCTGCTCCAGGCTCACTCTCGACGTGCAGAAAAACTCCTTCCACTAGAGCCCTGTTGTTTAGGGGCCATACCTTCCCAGGCTGGGGTCCCTGTCACCCAAGCCCATCTCCCCAGGCAGCCAGGCCCTCTAGACAGGCTCTACACCGACTTGGAATAGCAGCTCTAGAGGAGGAGAATTAGTTCCAGCCTGAGAACTGGGCTTGGCTCAATCATAAGACAGCCATGTGTCATGAAGCTTGCTCATGAAGCAGGAGCTATGAAAGGTTTCCATACAGGCAACTACACTCTTTTTCTCTAGGACTGTAATGTTCATTCTGAAATGCAAAGTGTCACACAGAAGGCAGGGCCAAGGGGGACTAGAGAAGAGGAAACAAGACTGTGTCCTCATTCAAGCTTGGATTTACCTCTTCGCTCTGCAACCTGCCTGCTCAATGACTGTGAGCAAGTTAAATCCTCTAGTCTCAGTGTCCTCACCTGTAAACTGTAGGTGGCAATGCCTGCCTCAAAGGGCTTGTGACAAAGGCAACAGTGTTTGCAAGTGCCTAGAAGAAGGTGGGCACAAGGCAAATTCCTCATGTCCTGCCTTTATATTTTGGGCATCTAGAATCGAGTGCAGTATAATGATGCCCTTAACCAAAGCCACTGCAATTTTCTGAGTCTGTTTCAAGAGGTTCATGACACATAAAGAACATATATTTTATTAGGCATGTGTTAGAGTGATCTCGGGGCATGGGCAACTCTAAACAGAGTACATGTGGGCCTTGAAGGCAGAGCAATGCAGGGAAGGCACAGAGCTGGGCCCCAGAGTGGGACAGCAGGTGTTTGTGCCTCGGACAAGATGGGAGACGAGAGTCCTTGGGTTCTAGCACCAGGAGGAAGGTCTGCTTCCCAGTGGGGAAAGGCTTGGGGGAATGACCTTGGAGGAAACTCCTCAAGACTACCTCTGTGGACTGATGTGGCCATCGCCATGGCGATCCCTCTAGGACATGGTAGCACGTTCCTTCCATTTCAGAATGATGAATCCACCAAAAAAATGATACAGAGGAATATAAGAGCTAAGAAAGGAGAGGAAGGGAAGGAAGATGGAACTATGTCAAATGCCTACTCTTTGCTAGGAAGTCTACCATGGTTATTTAACTGACTCCTCTTGATAGCCCTTTGAGTTAGCAACAATCCCCAAGTGACCTTCTGAGCTTAGGAAACACAGGCTTAGAGAAGCTGCAAAGCCTTGCGCCCAGTCACAAAGAAGTGAGGACCTGGGATTTGAACACAGGTCTGACTCCAAAGTGCAAGCATCTTCTAATTCCTCATGCAGCTCTGGGAGGGGCCTGAAGAGCAGCATGGAGGCCATGTGCCCAGAGGATCTTTGATGAGTAAGTTTGCTGTCGTATGTAGTTTATTCATGATCCATTTCAGCTTGCTTCTGGGTAACGGTACGTACAATTATTGTTACAAATAGTTAAAACATTTTTTCCTATATGCCTAAAAGATGAAAACCACTTACAGAAAGCAAAACAAAAGCCAAAGCCAAAAAACAAAAAAGAATCCAACCCTTAACCCCAAACCCCAAAACAACAAATGTGCTGAAAAGAAACTTCCAAAACTAAAATTGCCAGGTTTGTTATTCTCGTCCCAGGATCGTAATGTTGGAGCAAATCAAAATTCTAATTGGCAACAGTGACAGCGGAGAAAGGAGCGAGCAAGTCCTTGACAGTGAACTTGCTGGCCAGAATTAAGTGTGGAGCTCAAAGCTACCGGGTATCATTTCAATGGACATAATAATAGTGGATTTAATGAACTAATCGAACATGAAGTATACCAGAAGGGGGGTCATCACTGTGTCTACACACAACTCTGACAGCATCTGATTTTAACAAGTTTACTAAAACGACAGTCATGGCCTTGACAATACTGAATGCAGAATACTGGTGTACACAGATTTTACAGAGCGGCAGAGCGGCTCCTGAGAGCCGGGTCACAAAATTAGGTTTAACAGATGGGAGAGGCCTGAGGGAAGGCAAGCACACTGATTTTATTGAGAAAAAAGCTTATATACTGTAGGGTTGCTGAAGTTTAATAAATAAAGGTCAACTTATAATATATAAAAACAATATAAACATTTATATGCTACATGCATATCATATAATTTAAAGTAATAATTTATATATGGGGAGAGATGCCAATTTATGTTCTTCCGATTTTTCTCGACAAGGCACACACACAGGAGGTGTCTATCCGTATCCATCGCCAGCCTACAAGTTTATTGTTTTCTGACGTCAGTGCTCGGACGTAGGTTTGGGACGTTTTGCACTGAGAGTTCCAGTGTTTATCGTCAATTCCCCTGCAACCGTTTTTGACAGGCCTGGCTTCTTTACATCTCGTCTCATAAAAATACTGTTTGACAGGAGAGTTGCCGGTTTTGATCTCCCCCAGCACCGTGACCTGGTGTCCCCGAATGTCGATGGCCGATGACTTGTCGGTTACCCACAGGCTCTCGCTGTCGCATACCGAGTACTCACCTCGGTGACTCTTGTGCTCCGCGTACCTCTTCCTCCGCGACGTTCTGTTGGCCGCCACGGGGTTGCCTATGTAATCCTCCATGAGATACAAGGGAGGGGGCTCCAAAGGGGTGCTGTCACTCAGCAGGACCCGGGGTGAGCTGTAGCGTCTCTGTTGCCGCAGGAGTTCTGTGTCCATTGCAGTCACTGGCTGGAACTCTGACTTGGCCGGCTCTCCCTGCTCCAGCTTTGGGGGGGCCTCTGCTTTGGGCAGGGTGCTCTGGTAGTTTTCCTTAACGTCCACCATCTGCTTGGAGAGCTTGTTTTTCAAAATATCTGCCTGGATCAGCTTAATAATCAGGGAATTTAGCGAGTCTTCAGGCAAACTCCTTTGATCCATGTTGTTACCTTGGATGCCACGGAGATACGCGAGAAATATCACATAAAACAAGATGGACATCACCTTGTTCACCTGTAAGATCTGAAAAGGAAACACAGATGTTAGTAGCAGGCTGTGGCAGCTGAATCCGTGTCATTCTGGGTTGGGTAACCCTGTGAGAGAGCAAGGAAGAGCAGGGTGTCACCTTCCTAGGTGAGCACCCAGACTCCTCTCTGATGTCAGGCACCAGGGCTGTCAATTTCTTTCCTTGAGAAATACTGTCTCCATAAGAGTCCTCTGAATCTTTAAAGTACCTTTTTCCCTTCTACCTCTCAAATCTTTCCTCTAGCACTGGGGCTGTGTGATAGGGAAAGAAGTGTGTGTGTGTGTGTGTGTGTGTGTGTGTGTGTCTTGTGCAGGTGAAAGAAGAGAGGGAAAAATAATTTTTTTTAAACCAAATAAACCTGGGGTGCCTGGGTGGCTCAGTTGGTTAAGCATCCAACTTCGGCTCAGAGGATGATCTCACAGTTTGTGGTTTTGAGCCCCGCGTCGGGCTCTGTGTTGACAGCTCAGAGCTCAGCAGGCTCTGTGTGGAGCCTGCTTTGGATTCTGTCTCCCTCTCTCTCTGTCTTTCCCCCACTCATGCTCTATTTCTCTCTGTCTTGATAATAAATAAACATAAAAAAATTTATAAACCAAATAAACCAAAAACATGAGTGGTGAGGTCTACAGTATTGAAGAGTCAGCGCTCTCCCCAGGATCCAGGTTTCCAGGAACCTCAAAGGCAGAGGGAGGATGAGGTGAGCACTTTGGACTTGAGTTTCTGCTCTCTTTCTTAGACAGAAATCCCCGAAGGCATGTGCGTTCGATGTGTGCTCTTTCTGCGGCCCTCTGTTCTGTGTGGACAACATCCTGCCACTTCTTTAAACAACCCTTAACCATGAAAAGACCACAGTCCACTGTACCTTGGCAAATTATGAAGAAATTGAATCTAAAAATTATAAAGGTGTGTTTACATTCTTTTAGCAACAGGAGCAGACTTGCAATTGTCTCAAGGAACAGAGCTCTACCACCCTTCCCCCACACCCAGTGAGCTTCTGGGCCTCTCAAAGGAATACCCTGAGGCTGGGGTCAGGTCGGCTACCTGCACACTGCAGCCTCAGAGATGGGCTCATCCCTAGCCAGGCTGTGTCTGGTGAACCTGTTCTCTTGCCCTTGAAATGAACTTGTGGGCTGCTCCCCACTCTGTGAGAAGGTCTGGCTAAGCTCTCCAGTGGATATGCTTCACCAGGGCGCCCACCTGCTTCACAGAGACTCCTCTTTCACAAAGTGGGGGCCATGCCAGGGCACTGCTTGCAGAAGATGGTGACACAGCAACAACCAGCCCAAGTGAATGGCTGGACCTGCTCTGAACAGCAAGATTCCTTGTTCTTGTTTGGTCTCTTAAGTTTCTAGTACAAAATGTTTCTTTTGGTGGTTGTATTTTAATTTTGCTATCTCCTTGTTTAAATGGCAATTTAACCCATCCACATTCTCCTTCCATTACCATAGCGGAACCTTTAGGCGAGGTTTCTGTTGGGCCCTTATGGAATTATAGGGCTGTCCTCAAGATACCTTTCTTTGGTTCTCCCTCAGCAGAGCAGAGCCCAGCTTTCCCGAAGGTCGGTGCTGCAAGGAGGCTCTTCAGGTGGGGAGGGCTGGCTGCAGGAGTGATCTCCACCTGCACGCTGTGATCCACACCACCGCCCTTGAGGTTTCCATCCCTTAGTTACCTTCGCTACCACCTCACTGGCCCCCAGGGCTTCGCGGTTTCCTCTTTAAGGCTCTAAGCATGGAAAATAAAAAGCCTTCTCTTGGTTCACCTTTGGTATTTGCAGAAAGACTTTACGAAATCCAGGGGGAAAACAGAAGGGAAATAAACAAGAGCGGCACAAGAAACAGAGAAGCAGCGCTGCTTACCAAGAGCCCGTGCCTGAGCTTGCCCATGCTAACTTGCTCCCGGGACTTCCAGACGCAGGCTTTCTCCCATCTTGTCTGCAGCACTGCTCTCTCGTTCCCAAAGGCCAACAGCGCTGCAGGCACTTTGCTCCAGCTTCCTCCTCCTGGCCCTTGGCCCACCTCTCTGATAAGGGGACCATCTTCCTTCATGGGAACCACTCTTGTGGGACAACTGACTCCGTCAAGGTCAAAGCCGAGAGAAGGATTCTAGCTTTGCTGCCCACCCCTAGAGACTGCTCTAGGAATTGTATTAGCCTAGGAAAGTGGTTCCCACAGGATAACTGCTCTCCCTCCCACTCGGCATATAACTGACATTTCCTTCAATAGTGCAGGCCTGACAAATTGAAACTTGAGCACAAAATGAATGGCATACGTGCAGCTAGAATTGCATGCCCATTCCTCCCCACTCAAAATGGAATACAGCTGCAATAAAATAATTAGGGACTAAGAGTCTATCAAAAAACAATTTATTACATCCTCTCAAGGCCCAGCCACTGTAAGCTAAGAATGCATAGGATACCTGCTTGTGGGGAAAGAGATCAAGTATGGCCAACGAGGGAGGTCCTAGAGGGAAGGAGAGTGGATGTGTAGATTATTAACAAGGTAATTTACAAAGGTGAACTGACAGAAAGCAAGGCCACCCAGTGGATGGCCTTGGAGTTCAAAAGGAAGCCTCTTTATGAGTGGTACTTGAACACAGAACCAAAGTGTTGTAGGGGTAGAAGAGACCTATAAAGCAAGCATTTAATCTAAGTCCTGCATTTTATAGATGAAGAAAACCTAATTGCAGTTGAAAGAGGAAGAGAAATGCACAGAGTAGAGGGGTCCTCTGCACTCCTGGCCCAGTGTCTCCTTTGGTCAGATTAGAGCAAGGCTCACACTCCCAGGCCCCAGCCCCGTTTACTCTTCTAAAAGCTGCCTGAACAAGCTTTAGGAGCTGTGTGCACGTGTCATTCCTCTCCCCTGGCACACTCTCATAACACCTCCTGTTGAAGTTATTCTCATTCTTCAGTGCCCACTTGGAAAGCTAACTTCTCTACAAGCCCCCCTCCCCCCCACACCAAAGTAGTAACTGCCACTTTCTTTGCAATGCCTCAGTGAGTTTTCCAATTGGTTGTGGTAGGAGGTATCCCAGGCCTCAGGGCACTCCATGGTTTCCTCACTAGATTCCCTCTCCTCCAAGGCCAGGTGCCCCTTCCCATCTGTGCTTCTCCCCAGCGTCCTTGCCATGATCAATACGAGGGGATGATACCTGCGAATAAGTAGTGGGAGAAAAGCACTGGCAGGCTGGTAAGTGTTTCTAACTCACATGCAAGGCTGCATTAAAAACCCAGCAGGGTGGGGCACCTGGGTGGCTCAGTTGGTTAAGCATCCAACTTCAGCTCAGGTCATGATCTCACAGTCTGTGGGTTCAAGCCCTGCGTCGGGCTCTGTGCTGACAGCTCAGAGCCTGGAGCCTGCTTCAGATTCTGTGTCTCTCTCTCTCTCTCTGCCCCTCCCCTGCTCACATTCTGTCTCTCTCTCTCTCTCAAAAAATAAATAAACATTTTAAAATGATTTTTTTAAAAAAATCCAGCAGGGTTCCTGTGGCCTCCATCTTAATAATCTGCTTGTAGATTTTTTTATAGAGAGCAAGTCCAAGAATAGGGCTGATAGAACTCTCCAATACACAGATGTCTGAAGGAAATGGAGGCTTGGTGTGTGGTGGAGGGAGTCTTCTAAGGTTTGATTCCTCAGTTAATAGCAGAGAGTAACATAGGACACCTGGTTCCTAAGTTCATTAAAATCATGTGGCTTGTGTATAATCAACATTGTTGTGAGAGGTAAATAACAAAATCTATATGAAAGCACTGAGCACAGTATCTGGCATGCAGTGGTACACTGGAAATGTTAGTGGGACATGAACTTGAATTATCTGTGGCAGCACAGTCGCTGCATGCCTGTCCTCGACACACACATACAAGGTACCGAGCAGCTGGAGTCGGGAATTCCTTTTCCCCTGACAGCCCACAGCATTCTGCACCAATACAGAGCTCTCTCCCAAATGCCACCACTAGCAAGTGCTTGGATCTCAGACCAGCCACACTAGTTGTGGGAGAAGAAAAGATTTTTGCAAACTGGAAGCACAGAGAACAGGAAAATCACAAAAGCAAACAAGTACGGGAAGCTGTGAAGTGATGTCTGAATAAGCTGGGGGCAAGAAGAACCTGAATCTGAGCTCTGCCTCCTTCTGGTCACCAGAGCCTGCATTTTCTACCCAATCTTCTGGGGTGGGCTTTCCCCAGATGACTCGTTTTCTGGAGTGGGTAGTGAGGAAAGGAAGGCAGTGCTGGCTTGACCCAGGCATGGCACGTCAGTGAATTTTTCAATTTAGAAGGATCTCTATTCTCTTTCAGTCACTGTAGTTAATAGAGTACAAGCATCCTATTGTATTGTCGTTGTCTGTATATGTCTTCTTGGATGAAGAGCCCATGTCCCCTTCATGTACGCATGCCTGTTGCCTAGCACAGGGCTGGACCACTGCAGAGTCTCCATGTCTTCTTGGTGAATGAATGCCTATCATGATCAAAACCTGCCCAACACACTGCTCAGTGGCCTGAGATCCTATATAGGTTTCTGCCAAGCCTGGTCTGGAAGCCACTCAACTCTGCCTTCTTTTCCCAAAGAAAATACGAGGCCTGGCTCTGAAGTAGGCCATGGTCCCCAGGCTCTTCTTGGCTATAATTGGAAAAAGACCTGTTAAAGACCTCAGTAAAACCCCTTTCCTACACTCTCCCCAGTGCCCATTTCCCCTGCTCAGAGTTTTCCAAGATCCTGACCAACTAGCAGATGCTATTTTCCTCACTTAGAAATGCTTTCCCACATATGGTGTTTTCTCAGTCCCTGGAGCAACATTCCTACAAGGTTTCACCATCCCTCAAAATACTCAAAAGAGAGCAATTTCTGATTCCTCCTTTCTGGCTCAGTTTACAACACACACACACACACACACACACACACACACACACACACAGAAGGTTTTTGGGCAAAGCAGCTGAAATGGAAAAGAGAGCTGGGTAGAGAGCCGTGGCGGGACAGGACCTGAGCCCACAGCCACC